GCTCCATTTGCAACATCCACAAAGACAATTATTAAGACCCGATACAAGGAAACATTTTACATTACATTACAATCACCGTAGGCAATACGTTCAAGACTTTAACATGCTTTTGTTTTTTAAGGTCATCTTAAGACCTCAAAAGGTCTATCACTAAGGAGGTTTGGCTGACATTGATATTATGGCTATTTCAGATCTACCATTAGCCAAGTTCAACCTCAATAAATTCTACATTTGGCCAAGAGTTGATGGACTCGTGGTCCAGAGTAAGAGCTTAAGTAAGAACTAAAGTTTGGGTAGTTGGATCAGAAGGAGGATAAAAAAGGGATCTACTGGTCAGGGGTTTTCCCCTAAAATCGACTTTAAATGTGGTCCGTTGTCATTACACATGAGCATGATTATGTGTGTGTGACTCTGTGTGTTCAAAGCGACATTAGGATGTTATGATAGCCCCCTTTAAAAGTTGGCTTTCTCCTTTCTCACTTAGTCTCTGTCTCACACAGACACACACACACACACACACGCACATGTGCACTCACGCACGCACGCACGCACGCACGCACTCACACACTCACACACACACACACACACACACACACACACACCCACCCACCCACGCACGCACGCACGCACACACACACACACACACACACACACACACACACACACACACACACGCACGCACACGTGCACGCACGCACGCACGCACGCACGCACTCACACGCACGCACGCACGCACACACACACACACACACACACATACACACACACACACAGAGGAAGTGTGTACATAGTGTATGGGGAGATAATAGCTTTGCAGGGGCCGCAGCACAGCTAAGCCAAAAATCTGTCTGGCTAAAGGATCCATTAAAGCACACACACATATGAGGACATACTTTATCACTGACATGGAAAAAATAGAAAATTAGGGGAACAGACACCTACACTAATGCCAGTACAAAGCCTCAAGAACACACACAGGAATAGTTGCCAGCGTACGCACACAGCTGCGGAGCATGAAACATTAATGAGCCATTAGATATCAAACCATTGTAATGTACGAGGCCCAGTATGATGAGAAGACCAAACTTTCCACCAATTATTCTCTAATCTGTCTATTTTTGGGGAGGAGGAGGAGAATTGAAGTGGAGGAGGTGAAGAAAGAGAGAAGAGCAGAGAGGAAATACTATGTGAGGGGAGAAGGAGCTATGAGGGTCTGCGAAACAACGTGACTGTAAGGTGGTTACATTTTACACACAAAGCCTTACCGCCTACTATTTTCAATGTCAATAGTGACAATAGGATGATATGTATGGTTTCAATTCAGCGGTTTTCATGCGCATTTGCACATAGAAACAGTCAAATGGAGACAAAAGAAAAGCGTTGCACATTGCACAAAACACATTTTTACGTTTGGCTGAGGTAAAGAATTTTGGCAAGTGTAATTGAAACAGGCTTTTCATCAAGGTAAACATCAAGCATGTGTCTTAAATTACTACTAAGAGACTAAAATATGCAGCCGGTTGAGAACATCAAATATATGTGGAGGGATGAGGAAGATGTAGAAATGTTATCCATCACGTTTTCTGCATTCCTTTCTACATTTAAACACTTTTCTTTTTCTTCAATAGTGGCACCAGCTGTTTATCTTGTAATTTCTAGTATTTGTATTATGGTAATGGATGTAGCTCTAATTTAGCTGATTGTCTTTACATTTCATTAAGAATGTGTTCTTCATTTGGATGTAAACTAGTGTTACCGGAGAGTAGCTCAAGCTAAATCTGATTTGGCAGGTTGAAGGTTAGGAAAATGTCACCATCTTGTATGACTTTCTAAATAAAGCCAGTTACAGCAATTGTAGTTTAAATGGAAATGTAGAATTTGAATTCAAATCCTCTTTGAATGGTCCCAACATCCTGCATTGGCAGGGCTGGAATACATATTGGTCTCATGCAGAGAGAGACAGACACTTGGTCAACAGAGAGGAAATGCTGTGTGACAGCATGATATTAATGCGTGCCTTGTTTATTCAATGTGTGTGTGTGTGTGTGTGTGTGTGTGTGTGTGTGTGTGTGTGTGTGTGTGTGTGTGTGAGAGCAGTGAAGCATGAAGCTGTTACTCCAGTCACAATCCGTGTCCTGCAAGATGCTAATTAGTAGCAGCTCATAAAAACACAGTGACTGGGACAAGAGAAGGAGAGAGAGATGAAGGGATAATAGGAAGGAAGAGATACATAAAAGGAGACTGTGACGATGAGGCAACATGACAGGAAGAGATAGAGAGGAAGTTTGAGACACTAAAAGCAGAGAGAATGAGACGGAGGGTCAGGAAAGGCACCCAAAGGATGGCAAAAGAGAGATGGAAAGATGGGCAGGAGTTATGTGGTGTGAGAAGTTCAGCATTAGCCAGCTCTGTCCACACACAACTGCTAAATGTCTTATTTTGTAAAGCACGCTTGTGGTTTGTCTGCTAATATTCAATACAATACATTCAGTTCAGACAACTGGGGGAATAATCTTTAGGAAGCGATCATGAATCAAAGGTCGGAAGCAAATGTTCAAACTCTTAACCTAAAAAAAGACATGCATCTCATCCCGATGAGCCCAAACAAAGCCGTCAGAGCGCGGTTTCAGACACTCACAAGCAGTGGTTTGTGTTAGGGAAAAAGGATGATCACTCCTTCATTTTGAGTGTTTCAATGTGTTGTTTTGTGGTATAGTGCAATTTTTTTCATCAAACTCTCATTGCTTTCAGAGACAGGACTCTTCCAAATTGACCACTTCCAATTCTTTGTCTCTCAAACTCATGGAAAGAAAGTTAGTCACCATTTCATTTTCTCTATTTTAGGCGTCTTGCAAACCTTGTTCGCTGCATTTGAAATGACACTAATATAGAAAAATGACACGGATAGAAAATATTTTTGTACAGATAATTGGATTAGACCTCCCTATATGAGTCATCCCACTCTGGGAAACCCGCATACATCAACAAAACCAACATGTGCATGTTTTTGTCAAAATGACTGACAGTTTACTGACAGACTCCCCTATAGTGAAAACATACAAATTGTGTCCCATTTATTTGCAATAAGAGTCAACAGAAAGTTAGGAGGCTCAGCCAGAGGAAGGATCCAGTTATTCTTCATCAACGGTCTTTGTGTTGCAGTTACCGATGCACACATGTTTCTGGTTAAATTACCTTAAGAGTGAGGAAAATGTAGCAATATCAATTTATTTTTACCAATAGACATTAGTGAAAACGCTAAACCACTGCAAATTAGAAAAGGGGTATCAAGTTGTCTCTACAGTGCTGAAAATCAGATCAGTCTCTTTGTGTGTGGCTCTGTGTCTTCTCATTCTTTGTTTTCCTTCCCTTTTTATCTTTTTCTTACACACAACATATACAGTAGCTGTGTCCATCCTTTTTTATTTTGTAGAGACAAAGAAACACCAGATGTTTCAACAAGGACATTATTTGTGTTCTGTTGTATAGGCTCAGGTGTGTTCTCCTGGGATTTGTAATTTCTCACTCACGTAAGATGATGGACATGAGTTATTTGGTATTGCTACGTCTCTTGTATTATATGGATGGATAGCATATTTGACAGGAAATTGAGAAATGGCTCACACTTTTTTTTAAAGCTTTCTTTATACATGTGACACACACAGACACACACGCACGCGTGCGCACACACACACACACACATACAGATATTCAAATGCTGTACGCACATTTGGCTAGATTAGACACTGCTCTACGAACACAAAAAAACAAACACATACTTTTACTCTGCAGTGAACACAACACAAGAAAACACTCCGAGGGCAGACAGTTCAGTATCTTAACATTTTCATTTGGATGATAGATTATTTCATTTTATCGCATACGTGGTGCTGTCATTCAAAAGATTTGGAGAAATTATGATTTGGTGGAATTGCAACTGACAGGAAAACAAATGTTTTAATTAGCTTGAGTGCCAGAATGAGACTCTGAATTACTCAGTTTTGATTTAATCCATTTCAATATTTATGAACTTCCCACTGTTCATTTGAGACACTGCTGAGGGAGATACTTTTAAAATGTGTTGACGTTTGCAGCAAAATCTCCCAGATAAGTTAAATTAATTTAGAGTAGAGTGACTTAATCAGAAGTGAAATGTTGTGTCTCTGTGACTGCAAATTGATGAGTCTTCACTATTAGTTTATGAGAGTGTTCCTTTCTGCCAACAGAGGGCAGCAGAAGGGCACTCACTCTTTAATAATGGTCCACACTGACAAGTACTTCTCACTTCATGCTGCAGTGTGAAAGTCAGTGTAGTGACCAAGGATAGTGAGAATGAACTAGGCTATATATAATAATGAACATTCTTGAAACTTAAATTAAGTTAATGTCAAACATGTTGATATTCATGTGTAGTAATGTAATTCACATTAAAATTTTGTTGTTTTTTAATAAATCAAAAAAGTATATTTCCAAGTTTGGACATTGTTTGAAGCCAGTGGTCGACTTCATTGTATTTTCCAACACAATAGATAATAAATTAAGTTTAATGACGGTGAAACCACTCGGATTAATCTATCAAACAAACATGAATTAATGAAGTTGACACATAGAGACTCCCCAGGGATGATGTATTGGACTATTTGGAGAGTTGGCTCATAAAAAAGAAGTGGCTCAAAACCAACTATATGATCACAAAGTAAATCGTTAAGATGATATATGGGCCATGATAAAAGGGGACGAGTTGCTGGGAAATGAGCTAAAATATGTGCCCTGCTGCCACGGACTAAAGTTGTATTCGTCTGTGTGGGAAAGAATCCGAGTTTATAAAGCTGAGTGTTTCTGTGGAGAAGATAAGGGACGAGAGGAAGTTTTAGAGCCCTCTTTTCTGGTGACATCAACATAGAGACAGACACACACAGAGAGGGAGGGAGAGAGAGGATTTTTGGGGGAAACCAAAGTACAAATCTGTGTGCCTCGCTCATTCTCACAACCTCCAGGCGTAACAGTCAGTTGCGCCTCTCCTCTCTCAACTTTTTTTGGGGAACTGATTACAACTCCGCGGCAACTCTCACTTTTTATGACCTGGCAGCCGAGGGATGTTCTCTGGAAGGAGGTTACACCCCAGCTGAACACTTTTACCTTGGGAAGTTCAGGAGTCAGGCTGTTTCTCGGAGGTTGTGAATGGGGAGCACTTGGGGAGACTTTTACGCATAGAGTTGAGTGACGCGCGGTACGATGTTTTAAAAGAAAACTTAACTTCAATTTCCTGCATTTTTTTCAATGGAGATTTTGACTGATCGTCTTTCTTGATAGAAACTTTGTTAAACTTCTGCTTTTGGTTCCCATCACTTTTTTTTTTTAATTCTACCACACATTCAAACGGCCTCTCTTGACCTTTTTCGGGATACTTACTTCCACAGCATCTACTTCCCCCCCCGTGGATTTTCAATTAACTTCGGTTTGGAAGTAATTTGAGTGGATACCATGCCTCCGATCGGACCGGAGAAGCGTGCTGCGTTCTGCCGGGCTTGGGCTCTGGTTTGTGCGCTGCTGGTGTGCGCTGCCTCGGTGACTGGATGCCCACACAAGTGCAGCTGCTCCGGGTCGCATGTGGACTGCCAGGGTCTGGGTCTGAAGACTGTTCCTAAAGGAATACCGAGGAATGCCGAGCGTCTGTAAGTGGAATTTAATGAGAGTTTAAGCAAATCGTATCGTCTGTCTGTCATCATATTGTGCCCCGTGGCCATAAGGTGCGCGTTTTTTCTTTGGCTTTACTTTCATGCTCTGATACTGCTGTATAGACAAAAGTGAAGAAGTTACGTACAACACACGTGCAACTTACCACGCTTAAGTTTTTTCCTAGACTGAGTTATCAGAAGTGATGGAAATAGCTTAAAAAGTGAGAACATTTCAAACTTTCACAGTAAAGCTGAACTGTTGATGAATGAATAACACATATTTAGGCTGTTTTACTAAGTTTACCATCATTGTTCATGAGGCTAAGCAGTGACTCAATTAAAATGAATTCCAACTCTGACCCCCAGTCAGTGATCATTATAAGGCAAACACTCACTTTTATTTACAGAGCAATCTTCATTAAGCAATGGTTTATTTAGTTGACCCTGTCCCAACTGTTTAACCTGGGTTGCTTTAAACATCTCTGACAACTGAGTAACTTTGAACATTTGTTTACATTGAATACAAAAAAAAGACTTTCTACAAAAAAAATCTTTCTACAAATGCTAATAAAGTGAATTAAAGAGGGTTTCTTTTCAAGCAAGAGGATTAGGTTAATGAATTGGAAAAATCACAAGCATTTATCCTATACACCCCGTGCTAAACAAGGTTTAGTACACTGGGAAAGGTTACAATTATACCTCCTGGTCAAAAGCATACACTGCAATCTCTTTGGATACACGTGTAAAATATGGTGCCCTAAAAGTCACCCGTGACCCCAGTGAAATGAGCCTGTTAAGAAAACAGTCCTGAAGCCGCTTAGAGCGAGTAATTAACTTTTTAAAGAAGTCAGAATGAAAGGTGAGAAGACGCAGTGAGCTCCTTAAATCTTTTTATATTCTGTGTTGCAGTGAGACTTTCCAAAGTTAGTTACTAGGTTCCCCAAGTTGGGCTGGATCTGCAGTGATCTGTGTGAACAATGTTTTAACATTACAGAGTTACTCTCAGCGCCTTTTCAAACCTGGTGACAGTTAGTTCCAATTGATATTCACTCCTGAGGCCGAGACAGACCCCTGACAGCCGCTGCTGCCACCTCTAGCCACATCTTGACACGTATACATCCCCGCAGCCACACACATGCACTCACAAACACACACCTATATGCTGCTAAGGTATGGAAGCGATTATGCATGATAACGGAGCAGCCAAAAGCCCCGCGGGGGATCAACAACAGACCTAACCCTGAGACAACAAACACAATCAGTAGGCTGCAGAGGGAAGTGGGGGGCCTTGTTTGTTGATGCGTGTGTGTAGATGTGGGGGGTACGGGTTGATATGAACATATGATTAGCATGTGTGCGAGCATTTTTGTTTTTTGCACATGTTTTGTTTTGATATGATTGTGTCTGTATGTTTGACTGGATAGTGTGATTGTGTGAGTGTGAACAGCGTACCCCATAGCGCTCCCGTCCCACAGGACCGTGTGACCTCCCAGGACCTGTTGGCTTTCACACAGCAATCCCCCGAAGACATTTACACCTTAGGAAAATAAATAATTAGTGCGGGCTGTGATGGGGAGGTGGGATAAGGGGGTCTCCTGCATCTCGCTGGGTCCCCGGGGTGGAATATTTGGGGTAGCAGCGCCCCCTCCCACCCTTTTCACTCCAGAAACGATGTGTTTATATTTCCCTGATTTATCCAGGTCAGTGTTTCAGCTGTGACTCTGGCCCAGAGTTGCTCTTTCCCTCCCTCCTTCTCTCCCTCTCTGCCTGCCTTCATCTTTCTCTCTCTCTCTCTCTCTCTCTCTCTGCAGATATATTTTAGGGAGTCTGAGATGGGAAACATTAAAATGGATGAGATTCCAGTACTAAAGGTTACGGCAGATGGGAAACTTTTCAGGAGAGAGAGATGAGTGTTATTTCCCTGAGCAGGGATTTGAGTCTGACAACTGGGATGAGGTCCGTGCAGGAAACACATTCTAGTAACAAAAATGCCAGATTGTTTAAGTTGTGGGTACAAATGCTCATTTGCATCGAAGTAAAGTTTCCCAAATTATTTAACATCTCCTTATATTTCCCATCCAGTAGTTGAGAAATATTTAATATCCACATGATTAATAGTTTTAAGATCCTGTTTCACGTTTTCACATATTTTAAGCAGTTAATTATATGTAGTAGCCGCAAGGAGAAAAATGGATTGAAAGCAATGCATTGGAGCTACACAATGAAAATATTAATTAACTCATCATTTTGTAATCACTTAAGTTATGAATGTTATGCTATGCAACTCTGTTTGTGGAGGTTCATCATGAGTTGAAAACAGGACATGACATGATGTGATTTTAGCTTGTGAAAGTAGAATTTCTGATGGAGATTGACCTTGAATTTATTTTCCTATTATGTTGTTTGGTTGTTTCTCATGCTGAAGTATTTCTTGATTCACACATTTAAATGGTAACATATTTCTTTATAGAATAACCGTTTTGCAGAAATGTTTAAATAGTTACAAAAGGAGAAATCCAAAGACATGTACAGATACAGTTTTCTCCACAAACAGTAGTCTCAACCACATGTAGGATACTATGCAACAAGACCACAAGACGTGGCGTTTGAGTAGAGACATGACTCCCGCCTTATCTTGAGTGGAAAATCTTTTTGAGCTACTACTCCACTTCTCGCTTTATCGCTTTCTGTCAGGCCACATGTACTGAATAAAACAAATTCATAGTCTGTGGAGGTTACTGAAAACAAATGTAGAAAATCCCTGTCAGTGAAGAAGAGGAACATGACAGATGGAGGGAACTAGGGCACAACTAAAACGTTGAGTACACGGCCTCATGGTGAAACAACGTAAAAATGTTCTGAGGATGTTGAAAGCAGAGAGCCTAGGAAGTAAATATTGAAAATGTTAGCCTTGTGAAGTTTAAAGAATCTCTGGTGTGGTCATTTTCAACTGTAGAGGTAGTTCCTACATACTCACATCGAGCAACTCCACAAGTGAAGGGTTAGAGCAACAGTCAGAGCCAGAGTCCACCTGTCATAACTGCATGAATGAATCCGTTTAAAAGCCGGTTTTCTTCACT